GTGCATGTGTGGGTTTTCTCCGGGTACTCCGGTTTCCTCCCACAGACCAAAAACATGCATGTTAGACTGATTGGTAACTCTAAATTGTCCCTAGGTGTGAGTGAGAGAGTGAATGGTTGCCCCTTTTCCATTAGTACCGGTACGGGCCGACTTGACCCTACTTGGCCCGGTTCTGAGGCTTTTCCATTAGTACCGGTACTTAGCACCTGTTACTATTTTCAGTACCCTTGGCTCTGTGGTTCTAACCCGTACAAAGAGGTACAAAAACGTGACGTCAGAACACTGTCGGTCACTGATTGGTCGGGGGCGGAGTCGGGGGTGGAGTCACTGGATCCTTCAGAAATGTTTCAAAACAATAATCCGCCATTTGCAATTTTTTGGACTGAAGCAGCGGCTAGATTTATTTTAAAGATTTTTAAAACAATACTGACAACATCTTGGTCTAATGCTGATGTACTGGCATTTTTTGTGCTTGGTGGCCAACAACATAATTCAGAGCAAGCTGGATGGAGCTCTGCTGGTCTACCCTGATCCTCCCTCCGGAGCCTCGGAGCGCCAAGCCGGGCAGGGCGTCATCTCCCCGGCTCCAAGTTCAGCTGGTCACCGCGGAAGATCCTTTGATGTGCCGACTCGGAGGCTCGGGTTCCGGATACCAGCCTTGTGTGCTCAGAGCTCCGCTGGTCACTGCGAAGCTGGAGATGGGGACTCGCAGATGGCTGTTGCGAGACCCCGGCCGCGCGTAATCATGAAGGCTGAATCCTGATCCCACCCGGCAGTCAGACGGACGGTGGAAGCGATTTTTAAATAAAATAATATTTTGTTTTTATACAAAAAATGTTTTAAAAAGTTGCTGAAGCGATTTAAAAATGATTATTATTTTTTTTTACACGTAAAATGTTTTTTAAAATCACTTCCACCATTGGTCGCAGACCCGTCTTTGCCCGCCTGTCTGCGCGGGTCGGGCCTTCATGATTACGTGCGGCTGGGGTCTTGGAACGGCCTCTGTGAGTCACCAGCTGAGCTGGAGCTGAGAAGATGAGCCTGCCCGTCTCCGGAGGAGAGGATCGTCATAAAAAAATAATATATATATATTTTAGCGTTGAAGATTAAAAAAAATAAATAAATAAACGGTGCCAGCTTCATCATGAAATCCTGTTTTCACTTTAACGACCTTCAGTTCAACTTTATTTTAACTCACAAATGTACAAATCACAAAACAAGAACTTTAAAGCAAAACTAAAAATAAAATGTATATATGTGAACAAGAAAGAAAACCACACATTTAAAATGAGCATTAAAAGTAGACACAATGAGTGCAAATACATCAAATGATGATGGAATGATGTTCAATGTTTGTGCTGATGTTCAATGTTTTATGTTATGAGTGCTTAGTGTATATTTAGTTGATGTTTTTCTTAGTTCATATCTTAGAT